TTCTATGTAATAAATATTAAAAAAAATATTAAAAAAAATATATAAAAAAAATATATAAAAAAAATATATATAAAAAGATATTAAAAAATATATATAAAAAAAAATATATATAAAAAAAAAACATTAAAAAAAAATATATATAAAAAGATATTAAAAATATATATAAAAAAAATATATATAAAAAAAATATATTAAAAAAAATATATATAAAAAAAGATATTAAAAAAATATATAAAAAAAAAATATTAAAAAAATATATAAAAAAAATATATAAAAAAAATATTAAAAAAATATATAAAAAAAAAATATATAAAAAAAAATATTAAAAAAATATATTAAAAAAAATATTAAAATAAAAATTAAGAAATAAAAATTATATAAGAGAAAAAACTATTAAAAATAACATATTAAAAAAAAATAAATAAATATAAAAAATATTAAAAAAAAAAATTAAATATTAAAAAAAAATTAAGAAAATAAAAATATATAAAAGAAAAAACAATTATTTAGAAATTACAAATTGCTGGTATTTTATTTGTATTCAATTCATTGTCTGTAAAAGGTCCAGTATTTAATTATTTCTAATAATATTACATTTAAGATTAGGTAAATAAATGGAACTTCCAATTTCAGTTTCCGAACACACTACCATTGCAAATACTAATTGCTATTCATAATTAAAAATATATAGACACAAATTAAAAATTGAAGGAAAATCCACACACACATATAATTCGGTACTATTTAATTCATTCCATTTTCTTCTTCAAATCGTGTGTGTGTATGTGTGTAGAGGAATGAAAAGAAATTAAGTCAGTGAAGTACAAAGTAATGGAAAATTAAATAATTACAACTAAAATTATAAGCCAAANTATGCAGACAGACATATTTAGAAGTATATTTATATATGTAAATTCAACTCCTCTCCAACATCGGGACATCCCTATGGCTTGGACAATAATCCAAGGCAAATAAAAACGTACACTTTGTATGGCAGCAATATATTGTAGTGGTCCGATATTGGCGGTTCCGATATATATATTTGGGATAAATGACCCTTTTGTTTATATTTTATAGGGTCAATGACCCTTTTGTTTACATTTTGCCGAGGTCAATGGGCCCTTTTGTTTACATTTTATCAAGTCAACAACCATTGTTTGCAGCCAATACCCAGCTTCCCTTGAGGTCACCTCATGACTTTTAAATTATATCACATCGAGACGCGTGAGTCACCTAAGCACTGGCCAGGCACCGTGCTGCTTTACTTATATAGAACCAGCTTCCCCTGAAGTCACCTCATGACATTTAAATCACATCACATCGAGACGCGTGAGTCACCTAAGCACTGGTCAGGCACGGTGTGTGCTTTACTTATATAGAGCCAGCTGCCAGCCAGTTTCCCCAGAAGTCACCTCAAGAATTTTAAATCACATGACATCGAGGCGCGTGAGTCACCTAAGCACTGGTCAGGCACCGTGCTGCTTTACTTATATAGAGCCAGCTGCCAGCCAGTTTCCCCTGAAGTCACCTCAAGAATTTTAAATTACATCACATCGAGGCGCGTGAGTCACCTAAGCACTGGCCAGGCACGGTGCTTCTTTACTTATATAGAGCCAGCTGGCAGCCAGCTTCCCCTGAAGTCACCTCATGACTTTTAAACCACATCACATTGTGGCATGAGAGTTATTTAAGCACTGGCCAGGCACGGTGCGTGTTTTACTTATATACGGTGCTTGCTTTTCTAATATATGTCAGTTGCCAACTTGCTGTATTGTTCAGTTCGGACCACTATATCATACAGCTGTCATACAAACTGCCCTATCAAAATGATGTAGAAGAAGACGTCAAGATGTAGAAATGTGGCATTGTCTACCTCTGCTGCTGTTAGAATATATTTTTCAATATGTATTGTATATAGTCTCTTGAGAAAACTGTCGGTTTAGCAATGTGGATGGATTATTCTTAAAAATTGTACTGTGAGTTCTTAAAATACTCTTAAACTTAAAAATATAAAGTATTTTTTTTTAATATTCAAAATTTTAGGCTGTCACACTAGGTGTGCGCCTTAAGAAACAAACGTCAAACTTCTGAGTGTATTTCTGAGTTAAAATATTGTCTCTTTATATCAAATAGCCGTTTGGAGTGTTTGTAGCCTTCATTTTGTTAACCCTCGATTGAAACGCG